GCGTTTCTAAGTGTTCACCCCCAGCTGATTTCAAGCTTCCGGCAACCCCAAGAAAACACCCGATGCCCCAAGGATGAAGGTCTATATATGTATACATATGTGCGCGTGTGTGTGTGTGTAGATCATGCCTTGCTCACACAGTGCTGACATGTATGGAGTATTGGTCATGTATACACACAAGCAAGTCCAATTGGTAGACTCTGGGGGGGGGTGGGTTTGGGGGAGGCTGGGTTTGGGGGAGGCAGTTCTAAGTGTTCAAACTGAGCTGATTTCAAGCTGCGAGGTCTTCCATAGGGCACACACATATATATACATATCTATATATACATATCTATGTATATATTCAGTTTCGTTTGTAACATGCAGTATACTGTGTATTTACCTAGGTCAACATCCGTCTCACGCATGTCTACTCGGTGGAGCTAGACGAGGACAAGCGGAACTACTTGCTGGCTGCCTTCAAGGGCGTGAAGCACATGTACGCTGACGTCGCGTGCTTCGAGGAAGGTTCCGGCTTTTGTTTCATCTGCAAGAAGAAGCATGATCTGTCCGTGGAGTCGCACGCGGTGGACTTCCACTTCTGTGGGCCTTCATGCAAGGACATCAGCAAGTTGAACCGCAAACGAAAGCAGCACGCAGGCTGCTACACCGCCAAAAGCGATACTACAGGGACATCCGGCCCTACATACAAGAACGGGTTCGTTGCAGTGCCATGGCGCGAAACATATACATATATATACATGTATGTATGTATGTATGCTGTTGAGCGCTTGCTTCAGCATGTATATACATATACATAAATATATGCCTTTGTAGTCAGCGACGTGTATATATATATATATGTGTGTACGCGTATATATTCACTTGTAGCCTTTCCACGGATACACACATATGTATTTTTATAAAACGCTTCTAGGCGATGCGCTTGCTGAACCCAACCATCTCTGTGTACGAGAACGTGAAGGCGGCGTGCGACTGGACTTCCGGGCCTAATGGAGAAAAGCATCCGCCTGCCATCAACACGGTGGAGACGGACACGGCGTCCCTTGGCTATGACTTTGCATCTCAGCTCAGCACTTAATATGTTTTTCTCTCTATGTATATATATATATATATATTTGTGTGTAGGGAAGTAAATTAGCAAGAGGGTTGTTGGCTTCCCTTTGTTTCAAACCCACAAAGCACATCCTTCTGTGCCCAGGCATGGACAGTCGTGGACAGCCAAAAGTACCTTGTCCGCCAACGACGGAACCGCGTCTACGGCTGCGCTCAGTTGAACACTGGGTCCGCCTCAGATGGTTTCAGCCAGGTATTCTTGTCCACCGTTCGCAGCCTGCAAAGCGATGTCCACCTCACCATGGAACAATGCTTTGGTAAGGCACAGAAGGAAGAAGTTCGAAACAGCCGTGAGAAGCAGTTGCTGGAATCTGCGCTGGATCATTTTGGTGTGGCTCCTGGATCCAATGTTTTTGTGGATATGTCAACCTCATCATCTAGGAATCCAGAATGCAACCTGAATGCTGCAACATGCGTCACGCCAATGCATCCAATTTATTCGGCTTGGTTGGGCAGGTACCTGAAACCGGTCGAAATTTTATCATGCCAGGGAATCTGGCGGGCCGACGCAGAGAACACCGAAGCATTCGACCGCATGGTCGATAGCCAGGGGCAGGAGCTTGCGGGCAATTCATTCACGGGAACCACTGTACAGGCCGTAACTCTGGCAGCTCTCATCGCTTGCGATGCTTGGCGGCGTGATGCAAGCGACACAGGCGGTTCTCCACCCATGGCTTTCAGTGATCGTGTGCCACCCCGGCGGTTGCGCCAGAAAACGCCCTCGAGCCTGGCCTTTGCTCCAGTTGCTGCGAAGGTGCGACAACTGGCCAACAAGAAGAAGAAGAAACATGATCCCTCCAAGGAAGATACCGAGAGAGACACCTACGGCAAGGGCAAGCACGCGATGGCCTCAATTTGGGATAAAGAGATGATTTGCCAAGCGCACGAGGCTGCCGTGAAGAAGGGCGTGAAAAAGATGTGTGCCCACATGGAGGGCCTCAAGTTGACGGGATACTTCCGTGGCTGCTTCTGTGGCTCCAAGTGGGGCAAGGCGCGGAAAGAGCAGAACTGGACGCTCTTGTGCAAAACGGCTCCTGCGATCTGCAAGCGGTTCAAGGAGTTGCCGAACAGCGTGCGGCGCATCCTGAACATGTCGCACTTAAAGAATGAGTGGGGCTACACCCAGAAGGCGGACAGCGTGCATATCCCGTACCCGCTGCAGGTTTGCATTGAAGATATGGTGATGGAGCGCATCGTGCTTGGTGAGGAGGTCACCATGCAGTTTGTGGCCAACACAATGTCCTTTGCCATCGACCTCTGGAACGAATCTGTAGGCACCATGCAGAATTTGTTCTATGAGAAGAGCCTGGAGATGCTGCAACAGCAAGATGCAAACTTTGCCAACCTCAGTGAGGATGATGTGGACAAAGCTATCAATTCCATGACGGATGCTGCCATGCAGATGCTGAAGCCGATTTGCATATGCCCAGGAGATGCATCGGTGAAGAAACGAGCCCAGCGCTTGTGCAATCAGTTCGGCATCAAGCCACGAAGCAACGAAAAGCCAGGTGCACATCTTGAGTATGACCATCCAGCATTGGAGAAGGTGAGGATTTATGTGCGACACACAGCACGTGAGCGGGGAGTCCATGAACGGCTAATTGCAAATTTTGATCAGGTCTGGTCGACGAATTACAGACCACAAAAGAAGACCCTGCAGAAGCCTGCTTCATGGAGGAACCGTGAGAATGACCCCCTGACTCGAAGCCTCTACATGCGCAAGGTTAGGCACAACCTGGAAAGATCGTTGGACCTTCCACTCACAGAAGATGACCCATCAGCACCACAAGTCAAGACCACTGCCAGCGTGCCGCAAGTCACTGGCTTGGCCGCAGCCAGAGGAACGGTAGATGAGTGGCGTGTTCCCCGCACAGTCACTACACTCTCCTTCATCGACGGCTACGTGGGGCGTGCCTATGTCACCGTGAGCGCGGGCACGGTATCTGAGGCAGTCCGGGCCAGGGTGAACAAGGAGCTGAGCAAATACATCTACGTTGCGGACGTGCAACCTGGCTCGCACATGTGGTCGGAGACGACATTCATGTATTACCTTGACTTCCTGGCTGAAGAGGTGCGCAGTCGCAGGAGGCAGCTGGGCCTAACCGCGCGTGACAAGGCGTTGGTCATGATGGACCAAGCTGGGGCGCACATTTCGAAGACCTATCGAAAGCTCCAAATGCAGTGGTGTGAGCGTCACAACATCGAAGCTCAACACTCAAACGCAAAATATGTATATATATATATATATGTATTTAGTTGTGTTTTGTTGTGAAAACGACATATGTATATATGCATAAATATATATGTACACACGTTAATGCTGTGCACACGCAATCTTGTTTTTTATTCGTATGTAGTTATTTAGCCGGTTTATTGACTAAGGAGCTCATGGGGTCATGGTCCGAAGTGCCCGTGCCGGGCGGGTTTGGTGCGGCAGGGGGACCAAATGACGGCTGGCATCAAGCTCTGCATTCACTCACACAAGGCTACCTGCGGTGTGCAGTGGGATGGGGCTCGGCCCCAATGATCCGCAAACGGTTGGACGAGCTCCAGATGAGCGTGCAGGCTGTGCCGTCTACCAAGTGACTCAACCGCACCCCCACACACTAGACCTCCAAGAATTCTGATTAAATGCAGAACTGCCAATCAAGTTGGTTCCCTTTTTGCTGGATTTGAGTTTCCATCCGGCTTGAGATTCACTGGATTTGATGTTGCGTTTGATTTAGCATTTGGAGTTGCATTTTGTTTCTGTATTGCTGGGTTGGATTGTTTGCTTCAGTACGCACACCCGAGCCAAGGTGCCCGGTGGAGATTTCCATGCGTGCGGATGCTTGGGCTTTGGCACAGCTTGCAAGCCCAGAGTGGCTTTGAGTGGCATTTGAGCGGCGTGACCCACTGACACACATATATATATATATAGATGCAAATACATATTTTGTATATATATATATATATATCAACTGTATATATATATATATTTGTGTGAATTTGCATACGCAAACAGAGTTGAGCGTGAATCCGCTTTTGTACCGACACGATGAGGCATAACAAGCTCGTGTGGCTTGCTTGGCACCAGCGCGGGTATACATCCCAGCTGGACATCGCACGGTGGCTCTTTGACGGATGCTCAGCTCCACCTGATATAAATAATATATATATATATATATACCCATGTGCTACATTTTGTGAAAGTTCATAGAAGGGTTTGTTTCTAAGTGTTCACCCCCCAGCTGATTACAAACTCGGATGCCTTCATTCCAGGGTTCCCGGTCACGCTTGTTGCCCAAGGAAATCAACAGAGTGTGATCGCTCAGCTTCAGCGGAGCCGTGACTCCATGACACGACTATGCCACCTCACCGAGCTTCCTGAGTTTGCCGGCGAGGAAGATGGGGAGATGGAGCACATGCGCATGCATCAGATTGATGGTGAGACCTCGTACCAGTGGGCCATCCAGCTGAACGAGGACGTCAGCAGCCGTCGCTTGCTCCCGGAATACGTTGGCAAGATTCTGGGGATGAGGGTGTGCAAGTTTGCCCAAGAGCATGCCAGCTGGGAGGGGGCCATCCGCAAGCGTGCTGAGATGGGCAAGCCGCTTACCAACACCCAGCAGGTCAGGCACACCGTTTTTCTAGCAAGCGCGCAGGAGAAGCTGATTTTCTGCAAGCGACGGAAACGCCTGATCTGCGACGCAAAGCAAGTCAACAAGGAGTGTTTTGCCTTGGAGCTCAACCTGAGCGATGATGCCACCAAGCTGACACTTGCACCGGTGAGGGGAACTGCACACAGGCTCGTGCTGCTCAAGGCCGGCACTATGGATGCCGCCGCGTTGATTCCTTCCGAGTTGGACAGGCCGGTTCCTGGAGATATCGTTCCCGATGACCAATCAGATGGCGACGTGGAGAACGAGGGGGAGCCGCTGGGTGAAGACCAGATCCGCGACTATGCGGATCAGATGCACCAGTTCAACAACCCGGCTGATGCAATTGAGGAGGAGGCCGGTGTCGACGTCTTGGCAGACAGCGATGACGACCTGGAAGCACTTGGCCTGAGCCATGCAACGAGGGTCAAAAGCTTCCACACTAGGGAATCCTGGGTCGCGCTAGAGCACAAGGGCCTAACCGACCTTCCAAGGCACGTTCAAGGTTGCTTTGTGTCGTGCCATGCAACCTCCTGTCAGTGGCAGGGCTTCTATCCAGGGTGCACCACCGGCATGTCGGCCAAATGGGGTGGATTGACACGCAGGTCTGAGAAAGAAGCCTGCCTAGTTGCGATCAGGGCTGTGTTGCAAGCGCATGTGGCAGCGCATCGGAAGGACGCTGTCTGGCGGAAACAGCTGGACAAGGTCGTGCATGCCCTTGCAGCGGATGTTCTGTGATCAGGTGCCTACATATATATATATACCTACATTTTTTTAATACATATGTATATATATATATATATCCACATGCCTTTGTATGTACCATGACTCGTTATAAGTGCGGTGTGGCATGCTTCTCTTGACGCATCATCACATGTCAACCTGTGGGGAGTGGGTTTGCATACATCCGGACGCCATCAATGATGGCTGACTGATGTGGAATGACAAGCAACAAGCTTGTGTTCTTGCATGGAAACACGCACGCGTGCTTGGAAAGAGGTGCATCACTATGTTGCATCCTCGTGCGTGTGAGCCAACGCGTGACGTGGAGTCACGTGTGAACCTGGAGTTTCATAATTCAGAGTCCGTATTGGCAATGCACAAACTCATGTGTGGGAGCAAGGGGCGAAACCAGGGTAAAAAAAAGCTGGTCGCTGCGCCGCATTGTGACCCAAACCTTGGATGCAAGTGTTTCCATACATATAGATAACTAAATACTTGAAATCACAACCTCACGTATATGATGTTCGACAGCCAGGTGCTGGGCTACAATTCGTGGAAGTGCCTGGGCCATGACCCGGAGTGCCGGGTCATGGTAATATAAACACAAGAGAAAAGTACATATATATATATACACATGGTAGCATTTCAATGCTGCACCAGATGGTTTTTCTCCTCGTTTTGAATTACTCTCCCATGGGAGGGTGGTTGCCCAGACTTCCTCCGACAATGAATGCATCCACAGCTGCAACTCCTGACCGCCTCATCCGCCAGGCCAGATTCCACGAGTATGTGCTGCCGGGAGTCGCAATCCGCATACAGCTATGTAATATGTATCTGTATGGAAATCCGCACTTTGGCAACTCGGATGCAGTTGTTGATTATATATATATATATACATATTATGGAAGTCATTTGAGCTTGCAGTCATTTGAGCATGCCTTGCACACACGTGCTGACAAAGATGTATATAGCAATGCTCATGCATACACATAGACAAGTTGAATTGGTAATTGTTTGGTATTTGTTAGCGTCAGGGGGAGGCATTTCTAAGTGCTCACCCCCAGCTGATTTCAAGCTTCCGGCAACCCGGAGAAAGCACCCATGCCGCCAGGAGGAAGGTCTGGATGTATATATATATATATATGTGTATGTGTGCAAACAAGTCCAATTGGTAGACTCTGGGGGGGGTGGGTTTGGCGGAGGCGTTTCTAAGTGTTCACCCCCAGCTGATTTCAAGCTTCCGGCAACCCCAAGAAAGCACCGATGCCCCAAGGATGACGGTCTATATATATATATATATACATGTGTAAGTATATGTGTATGTAAATAAATCATGCCTCACACATGCACTGACATATATGTAGTATATATATATATATTGGTCATGTACATACACAGACAAGCCCCGTTGGTCGAATCTGGGGCGGGTGGGGTGGGGGGGGGGGGCGTTTCTAAGTGTTCACCCCCAGCTGATTTCAAGCTTCCGGCAACCCCAAGAAAACACCCGATGCCCCAAGGATGAATGTCTATATATATATATATACATGTAAATATGTGTGTGTGTGTGTTTGTGTAAGTAGATCATGCCTTGCTCACACAGTGCTGACATGTATGGAGTATTGATCATGTATACACACAAACAAGTCCACTTGGTAGACTCTGGGTGGGTGGGTGGGTGGGTTTGGGGGAGGCGTTTCTAAGTGTTCACCCCCAGCTGATTTCAAGCTTCCGGCAACCCCAAGAAAGCACCCTATGCCCCGAGGGTGAAGGTCTATATATATATATAAATATGTGTGTGTGTGTGTTTGTGTAAGTAGATCATGCCTTGCTCACACAGTGCTGACATGTATGGAGTATTGATCATGTATACACACAAACAAGTCCACTTGGTAGACTCTGGGTGGGTGGGTGGGTGGGTTTGGGGGAGGCGTTTCTAAGTGTTCACCCCCAGCTGATTTCAAGCTTCCGGCAACCCCAAGAAAGCACCTTATGCCCCGAGGATGAAGGTCTACATATATATATG